GTGGTATACCAGTCCCTTGGACTACTTGTTTCCACGTATCTTTGGTTTTCTTCATTCTTCTTTGCTCTGGATGAGGAGAGACCCATCACTGCATCTAGATGGCCACTTGCAAGCTTTTAAGATCCCAGTGTCTACTCACCAAAGTAGGATTTGGAACAATGTTTTTGTGTAGTGTTATGCCAGTTGAGCTTGATGTCCCCTGCGACTATGGTCCCAAGCCCACAGGCCCAACTACTCACTCCTTCTGGGTAGCTGGCTGTGGCCAAGTAGTGACTACAATCTTGCCCCTTGTCAGCTCTACTATATACCTGGAAATTCTAACAGAACATACAAATACACTTGTGGAAACATTGTCTGCCAACCCTATATATGGTCTTGGGCACACTCTCCCTTGCATAGACATACCTAATAGTTCAGCCTGTCCACCCATCTATCTACCCATATATCAATGTTTGCCTTCACTGACAATGCAATTCTGTATGTGCAAAAGGATTCATCTTTGTTGTCTGTACCTCCCATGCACCTCTCCATGTTTTCCTCTTCCTCAGTGCCACCATGTTGATCACTCACATTTGGTATGTTACACAGGCCTAGGAGTTTGTCAAACAAGCCAAATGGACATGACTTGGAGGAAACCTGAGCATGCACAGGGAGCTCACTGAGCCAGGCCTCTTCCTACCACCCCTTCACTGGCTCTAGGCACCCTAAAGCTGAAAGGGAAAAGTGGAGGCCTGTGGTCACAGTGTTGGCAGGGAGAAGTGTGGGCTTAGCACATTGCACATTTTTTGAGCTGCAGCCATTCACTCGCCCTGGGCTGGCTGCAGGGGCTATAGAGATGAGCAAGGCCTTGAGGTACAACCAGGCCAGCAGAAAAGCCACAATCACAAGGGCTCTGTGAGGAACCCACGATACCTCTTGTCCCTACCTTCCCTCCTCAGCCTCTCTGCCCACTCATTTCTTCTTCCTTTCCACCAGCACATGTTCTTTGTTTGCCTTGACAACCTCAGATGTCCATGTGTGACAGGACTGGTGGAAGTGCACTGCTATTAGGGACACAGAGTGTTTGAATGGTGAGAGGGAGCACCTTAGGTGATGCAGCTGGGGACCTGGAGGTGCTGGCAGGCCAGCACAGCTGTCTCCAGAGATGCTGCCCTCCCCCTGGCAGGCCTTTCTTCTCTGTGTGTGCGCTGACCATCTCTGAGCACAGGCCATTTGTACTAAGGCCAACCAAGACACATTCTGACACCTCATAGCCCATTGCATGGGAGCCCTGAAAGGTTTGAGTTTTGTTTCCACTGCGTCTATGGGGAAAAAAAAAAAAAAAAAAAGTATTTTCCCCCCTTTGCAAAATATCACATTTTTCCCAATTGAAGGAAAATCAATTTTATTTTGTAATGTGTCTGACTTGTGAAGTTCCATTGCTGACCCAAGCTTGGCAGCAGCTCAGAGTGATCCCTGATCCCTTTCTTCTGTGCTGAGTGGTAGCCAGTCATTCCCTGGCTAAATCTAAGCCATTTGTTTTCATCTCTAAATGAGTAGTGAGCTGAGTTTGCTTTTAATAATGAAACACAGAAAGGACCAAAGATGATGCATTAATGTTGGATTTTCCTTATTTTATCACCAAGAAAACTGCTGCAGATGGAAAAAGGCAGGAGATCATCGTACTGGATTCCAAGAGGAGCAATGCTATTAATATTGGTCTGACGGTCCTGCCCCCTCCGAGAACAATTAAGATAGCCATTTTGAATTTCGATGAATATGCCTTAAACAAAGAAGGAATTGAGGTAAGAGAAACTCGGGGGAGCTTGACTTGTGTTCAGTGATACGTTGCGTGTGTAAAGCATGACGGTGTCCAACATGACTTTCTCCACAGGACGGCTCACCATTTTTCTGTTCTCAACCACACTCTGAATTATGTTAATAATTCTCACCAAGGGGAACCCCACTTTGGCTGTGAAGTTCAGAGACCCTCCCTCTCTGGTTCATGTGCTGCCCTAACGCTGACCACACT